TATTAAGTTGCTTTAAATCGGATAATCTCTTAGTTCTTTTCAATTTCGATAAACGTTTTATTATACTGCATTAAATTAATTCTGTAAGCATGAAATACAAAAAGAAAAGAAAAATACAGTAAATGAAAAAAGTGAATAAATAAGTAAACAATAAATAATATGGAAGGAAAAAAAAAGAAAATTAATAAACAAAACAAAACAAAACAAACAAAATTAATAAACAAGAAAATAAATAAAATAAAAAAAAAACGTTTTGCAATTAAATGAATGAAAATATAAATTTTCAAAATAAAATAATACAAAATGAATGGAAAAAATAAACTAAATGTAAAATAAAATAAACAAAAAAAATAAATAAATGAAATAAAAAAGGAAAAGAAATATTTCCAACTAATAAATTAACATTAATTTATTTCGTTTTTATTTACTAATGTAATCTTTGCTTTCCTATTTTTAACTCTCTCAATGTAAGTATAAAAAAACAAAGAGAGAAAGAAAGAGAAGGAAAAAAAGAAAAGAGAAGAAATACAAATAGTAAACAAATTTAACAAATAAGAAATAATTTGAAAAGAAAATTAAATAAACGAAATTTTTTTTTGAATATTTTTTTTTCTGATTTATTTATTGAAATTTAATTTTTAAATTTGTCTCTCCATAATTTATCATTTCTTCTTTACATTTACTTAGTTTCGTTTTTTTTCTTTTAAATTTGTATCTATCTCCCCGTTTTGCTTTTCAAAAAAACAAAAAAAAAATTATACCATCTACTTATATATATTTAGTAATATGATCTTTGTTCACCCATTTTTTTTTTCTCTCCCCTTTTATTATAATGAAATTGTTGGAATATAGGATGAAAAACCCGGTTATTGGATGGAAAAAAAAAAAAAATAGTCGGAAATTATCCTAAATTTGATGCTTCTTCCTTCTATTACTCTTACAATATCTTCAATCAATGACACCTATATTTTAGTTGACCTATTTCATCCTCTTTATCCTATTCCAATCAACTAATGGTACCACAACTGTCACTCAATCTATTCATGTATTAGAAAAAAAAAAAAAATGATATATGAAAACAAGCAATTAACATATGATCATATAATCATCATTCATTCTCATTATCCTAATTGTAGCATCATTTTTTTTCCCCCCCCCCCTTCCTTGCATTATCCCTTCTGTTCAAAAATTTTTTTCTCATTAAATATAGTGTTAGCATCAATTTTTTTTTAATTATAAAATTTCACAATCAGTAAAAATCAATATTTAACATTAAGTTAAAAAAAAGGTTTTTATTTTGGGTTTAAAATAAATTTTCCATTTTCTAAATATAAATTTTAATTTTGAATAAATAAAAAACGATTTTAAGTATAACTTTAAATTTAAAGTATAACTTTAATATTTTTAAATATAACTTTAGTGTCGTTTTTTTACAATTTTAAGTATAACTTTAATATTTTTTTCTTTCCTAAATACCAAATTTTAATTTTTAATGAATAAAATGCATTAATTACTAGTGAGAATGTTTTGAATTGAAATAAATACATTTACTGGTTTATATGCAAATTAATGATTTAATTTTTATACATGTTATTCAATAATAATAAAAATGTATTGGTTCAAGTTGTACAGTAAGACAAAATAATTTATTTCTATTTTTCTTTTTCTTTTTTTTATTTCTTTAGCTATGATTGCTATGATTAATACAGACTAACGGTTGTAATGTACATTCGAAATGTTATGATTACGGTAGTATGGAATTTCAAAAAAAAAAAAGGATATAGAAGTTTTGTTTTCAAATCATTACGGTAATATTAATTATAAAATTAATGAGCAAAAATGAAAAGAAAAAATAAAAGTTGATCAGAAAAAAAGAAAGAGGAAAACTTACCAATTATTAACTTGTAGTATTGTTAGACCAGTTTCATGTGCAAGTTGCTTTTTTTGATCTTCTGATGGATATGGATGCTAAAAGAATAAAAACAAACAAAAAATAACATTATTATTTGTAAATAGAAAGAAAAAAAAGAAAAAAGAAAAAATTCTTCCTTTAAAAAAATTGAAATTTCATAAAAATTAAGGAAAAAATCGAAAGTAAAAGAAGCACAAAGAAAAGAAGAAAAAAAAAAAGAAAAGGAAGAAGAGGAAAAATAATATGCAATATTAGCATCACTGCGATTTCTTTTTTTCAAAATTTTCCCAACAAATGTATAATTTTTAGTTAAAATTTTGCAAAAATTTCTCTCAACAACAATTCCTTCAATATTCATTTATACAGTAGAAAAGGTTGAAATTACAGTAACATTAGAGATGGTAGTAAAATTACAGTAACATTAGAGATAATAATAAAATCATGGAATAATTTAAAAGAAAAAAAAGGAATGAAAAAAAAAGCAAAGGAATGGAAATTATGAAATGCAAGAAAGAAATTGCCAATTTCGTTTAAAAAGAAATTTTAAATTTACAACTTTAATTTATGAGAAAAAGTTTTCATTATCGAAATTATTCTAACAGAAAATCAGTTACTCAAAATAATCAAATTTTGGAAAACAGTTTGGAAAATATAATTGGCAATTAAATTTGTTTTAAATTGGAATTAGAATTATGGAAAATTCATTGGAAAAGAAAAGAGAAATATTGCAAAAATATTACAATTTTATATACATCAACAAACTAAAACGTATTAATCACCAAAATTAAATTCAATTCTTGAATTTAATTCAGAATAAATTTATTAATAAAACATTGAGATGTCTGAGATGTCACAAATAAATTTAATAATTTCAAAAAAGCAATAAATAAAAATTTTCTTTTTCTTTTTGTTTTTTAGCAAAATTCCAACAAATATTAATCAAAATCGATCCAAGAAATTTACAAAAAAAAAAAAATTTTAGAAAATCAAAAAAAACTTTTCATATCAAATAGAAAAAGCAATCTGTTAAAAAATGATGAATGAATTAATTATGGAGAGAGGGAGAAAGAGAGAGAGAGAGAGGGAGACAAAAAGAGAAAGAGAATTGATTTATTAAGTACATCAATTGATATTTAGTAATCATTCAGTATTTGTCAATCAAATATATTTCATCCATTATTTAAATCCAATCACTGTTCATTAGCGGTTGAAATTGAGTTAATCATTATATTCATTTCAATCCAATTTAATTCAATCTAATTTCTAACCTATCAATTTCATCAAATGAACATTTATCAATTTTATCAAATACACACGTTCAATCTTATCAGTAATTTATCAAATGAATATATTCAAAAAAATTTTCTGATTAAATAATTTACAAATACGAAATGATATAAATTTATTCTTCATTTAAAAATATCAAAACGACAGATATTGTTAAAAAACTTCGGAAATATTTCGCATTTTAATTTTATATTATGCAAGGAATTGATCATATCAAAACAAACAAATAAATATTGGTTATGAATAAATTGTTGAAAATACTTTCTATCTTTTTTAATAATACTAAAAAATTTTTCACAATTTTTTTTATTTCAAATTTTTGAAAAATTTTCATAAAAATTTGCAGTTAAGACAATGTAATGCATAGTTAAAACATAGCAATTATTTTGATATTTTTAAACGATATGACAAAAATATGATAAATTACAGTTATCAATTTAATAATTTTAGGGAACCATGACTTATCACTGTTTATACTTTTAAAAATTTTTCACTGAAATAGAAATTTCTTTTTTTGTTTATTATTTTACAAATGATACTGTCAATTTCGTCATAGAAATGAAAATGAAAATGATAAAATTTGTTAATAATGATCATACGAAATGATGATATTTGATAATAATGATAGCAGAGTATAACTGATACATTAATTTAAGAGTTAATACAGTAAAACAATAATATAAGAGTGAAGCAAAAAAAAAAAATGAAAAGAAAAGAGAGAAAGATCAAAACAAATTCAAATAAATAATTTTTTGTTAAAATTAAATAAAAAAAAATTTTTTCTTCAGAAATGAAATTTGCAAATATTTTTTAAAAATGAATTAATTTATGTTTATTTAAATTGAGCAAAAATAAAACGAATGAAATAAATCAATAAAAAAATTAAATTTTTTTTCAAATTATTTCCTGTTTTTTTTTTTTACTACGACATAATTTCTATTCAGTCAAGTATTGCTGCACATTTAAATTTTATGCAAATTTCAAATTTCATTTCCACAGTCTTTTTTTTTCATCCTTTTTTTAGTTCCCTCTAATTGCATTGCAATCCATTCAATAACATACCAATTTCAATTTACCAAATAAAAATACTTCAAAAAAAAAAAAAATTACAAAAAGGGAGGAAAATTCTCATCAAAACGATTGACTTCCAGCGGTGAATTAAAAAAAAAAAAATAGGGGAAAAAGGAATTACCGTAACCTCATATTTTCATTTGTAAATGCATTGGCTATTTTCAAGGACACAAATAGAACTTCTTCTTCTTTTTTTCGTTTTTTTTTAAAATTATTTCATTGATATTAATAGACTAGACAATACTATCATGCATACCAAATTATCAATAATTTGAAATGTGGATGTTGATAAGGATGGTAAGAGTGATATGATAAATATATGATAACACAATAATAATTTTGCATTTAAATGAAAACTAAAAAAGAATAAAAAGAGAAATGAGAGGAGTAAACTAAAAAAGAAAAGATTGAAAAATATTGGGTATGATGGAGGAAAAAAAAATTAAATTTGATAAATATATTTTTCAAACTCTTCATATTCATCTCAAAGATATCATTTAATAATCATACAATTATTAAATGGCATTTATCTTCAAAAGCAAAAAAAAAAGTTTTAAAGTTTTAAAGTTTAGTAAAGCTCTGAAAAAAAAATGAAATGAAATCTTATTAATAACATTGTAAGGAAAAGGTAAAAACACTATTTAATAAAATTTTGAAAAAAAATACAACCGATAAATTCAAACTAATGAATTACAAGTGTTGAAGAATTCAAATGATGTTAATAAAGATGATGACAATGATGGTAACAATAACGGTAACAATAATAACAATAGTAATAATAATGATAATAAAAATAATAAATAATAGTAATGGTAAAGATGTTGACGATGATGTTGATGATGATGACAGTACAGATAACAGAATGAAAAAAGAATTGTTGTTAGAACTTTAATTTGCTTAAATATATACGGCATGATTTGCTAAGATAAATAAATGAATGAATTTAACAGATCCAAAATTAAATTAATTTCAGATATTGACTGATTGGGAAAATCGATAATATATATTGTCACAAGAATTATTTCACATTCTAACATTTTACTAACTCAGTGTTAACGAAAAAGCAAAAAAAAAAGAAAAAATAAAATAGAAGCAGATAAAAATAGTTGAAATATTAAAAAAAAGGAAGAAGTTATCAATATCGAACAGAAAGATTGATGTATTAAATTTTAATTAATTAAGCTTGATATAATTAGGCTTAATATTAAGCTTGATAGGCCTGTAATGAGCAATTAGCTAGATGTTCTAAAACTTACAGTAAGATTCTGGAAGAGCCATGCCCTGAATTTGGTGATCGCTTCTTTTGAAAAAACTTTTGGTACTTTTCGTTTATTTGTACCGGTTGCTGAACCACCACCGCTTCCGGTATTTCCTTCGCTAAGAACCGATTCCCTCCCACCATCATCATTTAACGAACCGCATATCGATAACGACTCATCACCTGGAAACACCACGTAGCTACCACCCTACTTTATGTTTTCTTTTTTCCTTTTTTATTTCCTAGAAAAAAATTTCAAAAATAAGGAAAAAAAAAAGAGGAAATACTTAGGATTTATAATAATTTTTCTTTACACTTTTAAATTTCATCCATTTTATTAATCCGGAATTTATCTGGCTAATCCGGAATTTGATTTCTTATTTGCTTCTTTTTTTTTTTTTTTAAAAAAGAAGTGATAGAAATTTAGTAAACAACCAAGTGATAATCACTAACACTAAATGTGATAATAATATTTGATTTGCTGGCTAGTTTTCTCTCTCATAATAATTTTCATAATTTAATTCGCAAAAGAAAACAAATTTTAGTTTTGGAAAAATTTTTGATTATAAAAACAATAATGTTTGTGCTTTTCTTTCCTTTTTTTTTTTTAAATAAAATTATTTAAAAAAAGAAAAAAAGATAGATAACGTTCATTTATAACAAGTTTAGGGTTTGCACATTTGATATAAATATTAAGAAAATGAAAAATTAAAATTGAACCAAAGAAAACAATATAATAATAATTATATTACATTCAAGTAATATACTTGAGACAAATTTATAAATAATGAAAAATTTAAATTTTAACATAAGTTATTTGAAGAAGAGTTAGAGAGAGGAAGAGAAAAAAAAGGAGGGAGAGAGAGAGAGAGAGGAGGAAGAA